GGAAAACTATACCACGAGATAAAGCTCATCAAAAGCTCTCGAAAAGCTTTTTACAAAATTTGGATTCGATGGATAATTAACGAGATATTGTTGATTTAATAATCGATCAATTCCTCCAATCACAGAGCACTTAGCCTCAGGAGGCGGGGCCTAAGCATTGTGGAGGGGCGACTACGCATAGCTAAACTCTTTTACGGAGAAGGTGGTAATAGGTATGCCAGGAGACAAGGTTACCGACTGCAGAGATTTGATCAGTTACCGTACCAGCGCAAAATTCAAATAGCAAGGCCGAAGTATTTTAACCGGAGATCTGATTTTTAAGGAATGATGACGCACGTCCACTACGCTTATACAGTGCATATTTTTTTCTCAGTAAATTTCACAGAAAAACAATTCAATTCAAATTTTTTTGAACATGCATCGCCCGATTAAAAAAACCAGAATGTAAAAGGGTCTCATGCGTTAAGCTCGAATACTCAGTAAAACTCTTGAGCTTTCAACGTTAAACTATTTGAAAATTATATTTTAATTTTTTAAATAGTGTAAAAGAAGCTCATTTCACGCATTTAATTGGTCAAATTTTTTTATTTCGTTAAACTTTTTAGTCTGATTCAAGGAAATCAAAAAATAAAAAATAATAAATAAAATTACGATTAAACGCGTCAAGTGCGTTTATGCGGCACACCTCTTAAACGTGTAATATTTTACTGAAAAAGGATCAGCATTTAATCTAACAAAGCTCTATCGTCCAAAAAATTTAAAGTAAATTTAAAAACGCAAGAAAATCTCACGCGTTAAGTGCGACGGCTCAGCGCGGATGATTATGCTTGTTTTTCACTCAGCGTTTCGATAGGTCTTGAACCTCTTGGTCAGTGTAGTACCACATGATAAATGAATGAAAAAAAAAATTCAAAATACTGTGCATCGAGCTTGTTTATTCATCGCAAAGCTCTTACGTTGATCGCATTATTATCTAAGATGACAACGTAATTATTCTAAATCCCTCCAACGTCCTCAGCATTAAAAGTTAAAGTAGGCGGTAAGGTTCAGCATGGTAAGCGTGTTAGATAGGCAGAAGCCCCAATTTTTATTTTTGTTTACCTTTTTTTGTTTTATCTATAAGCAACATCTACTAAATTTTGATACTACTTCAAGATAAAAATAAAATTTTTAGAAAAGAAAAGCGCATCTCATGCATTTACTTGGTCTAATTTATTTATTTCCTCAAACGTTTATAGTTTTATTAACTTCAATGAATAAAAATTAATAAATAAAAACAAGATTAATCGCGTCAAGTGCGTTTATGCGGCACACCTCTTTAACGTGTTACATTTTACTGAAAAAGGATTAGCATTTAATCCATACAAAGCTCTATCAACAAAAAAAATAAAAGTAATTTTAGAAACGCACGAAAATCTCATGCGTTAAGCGCGATGGCTCAGCGCGAATGATTATGCTTGTTTTTCCAATCTGCGTGTCGATAGGTCTTAAACCTCTAAGTAACTGTTATTTTTATAAGATTGACCAAGTAAATGCATGAGATGCGCTTTTCTTTTCTAAAAGTTTTATTTTTATCTTAAAGTAGTATAAAAATTTAGTAGATGTTGCTTGATAGATAAAACAAAAAAAGGTAAACAAAAATAAAAATTGGGGCTTCTGCCTATCTAACACGCTTACCATGCTGAACTTTACCGCCTACTTTAACTTTTAATGCTGAGGACGTTGGAGGGATTTAGAATAATTACGTTGTCATCTTGGAT